GGAGCCACTCGTCATATCTGCTCCAATCGGGCCATGCTCTTTGACTTTAAGGAGACTTCTGGCGACAAGGTGTGGATGGGCAACTCCGCCCAATCCGAGGTTCAAGGCGTGGGCAAAGTTAAGCTCAAGATGACATCCGGCAAGGAGCTCACGCTGAATGATGTGTTGTATGTGCCGGACATACGAAAGAACTTGGTGTCAGGCTCACTATTGAACAAACATGGATTCCGCATGGTGTTCGCGTCTGATAAGCTGATCTTGAGCAAAAAGGGAAAGAGAGAAAACCTTGTTTATTTCTTTTTCTAGAGAGAGCTCTTGTTTTTTCCGGCCAAATTTTCCGGCCATCCCCTTTAAAGTTTTTGGTCGTCAACATTCCTACGTTGTTCTTGTTCATTAGTGTGTGGTTGGTCCGTACAATCTCCACACACGATAGCGGTTTTATCTTGGGAGGAGAGTGCTCACGTTTTCCGGTACGGTAGGCGGGCACTACTACCTTAAGGACAGCTCCGGCGACTCCGCTGTCCTTCCGTGGTGTTTTCTTTGCAGGATTAGTTCATAAAGACCTCGCTGCGTTCTGTCGAGTGCTTAATGTCCTCGCAGTCCAGTGCTTAACGTCCTCATACAACAAGGCTGTTCGGAGATATAGAAATTTATTTTTCAACTTTATTTATTTTGTAATATTCTGAATAAATTATAAATTCAGAATTTTATTTATTTTTATTTCCAGGGCCGTTCATCTTCCCCGTCCGTTGTAATCCGTACGAGAATTGTAACACAATCGTCCCATTCATAACTCCCATATGTTTTACTTAGTGTGTCTTCATTTAGAGCTGGAGGAAATCATCTGAACGACATTCATGTCGAAGAAAATTATGTCGTCCCGCACACGTTAAAATAAGCTCCGCTTGTGTCTTGTATGAAAATGGTGGTGTTGTTTTAAAGATTGTCAATCGCGACTTGAATATTCTGAATATTCGCTCAAATAAGTTTCTTAAGGAAGAATGTTGAAGATTAATTGAATGACTCTCGTGCGTTGGTAGGGTGATTTCCTCCTCTGCCAAAATCTTTAAGATGATATCGAGTACCTTGAAACAATGTTAAAAACTGACGTCAATTTGGAAATTGATAATCCCCCAATTAATATTTACCTATTCAGAAAAGCATTATTTAATTAGTATGTATACGTGTATTGCTTAAATACATTACAATAATAAAAGACTTCTTTTCGCATGAAGGAATATACCTGATGGCACTTTAAGGCCATCTGGTCTCGAAAGTGCATCATTTAAAACTTTTGAATCATGCGTGGAACCCTCCCATCCTCTAAGCACGTATATAAATTCTAGATCAACATTGCATGCAGCTAAGACATTTTGAGATATAGTCTCGTGACAATTTCGATTAGTACTCACTTCTCGTCCAACTACCACTGCTGGAATATGGGTGCCTTCTATCGCTCCAATGTAATCATATAACCATCTTGTAATCATTTTTAAATATCCAAAAGGTTTAAAACAAAATTGGATAAGATTTGACAAAAATTGAAAAAACTAACACATTGGTCCAGTACCTAGCTACTGCTAGTCGAGACCCTCTACTTATCAGCTACCGTGTCACGGAACCCCTTTTGTGTCAGCTATCATTAAGATGATTTTACCTCTAAAGGTACTCAGCTATCACCTCAAGGTGCCCCCTACCGTGACCTGCGACCCCTTTACCATGAAACGATACCATAACTAGTATCTCCAACGGGAAAAATTTTCAAAATCCTGATTTTGAATTTAATGAACTTTAATTAGTCGATATCCTTTCTAATCATTCTCGAATGGTCATAAAAAACACGTTTGGTATTCAATAGTAAAAGATGCTTTAATATATTGTTTTTCTATAAGAATCCAAACTCCAATCTCTCATTCTCATAATCAAAGTGTGTTCATATATATATATATATATATATATATATATATATATATATATATATATAAACACACACACACATACATATGCATATATATGTGTTCATATATATATATATATGTATGTATGTATGTATATGTATATATACATACATATATGTATGTATGTATGTGTATATATGTGTGTGTGTTTGTGTGTGCACACGCTTAAAAGAGCCTTGATTTTATCTCAATTTTCACACACACACATAAAGCTTGTGATATAGTAATAAACACTAAGATTCATATGTTTAATTTTGAATTTTCAAATAGTTTAAAATCTCGTTCTACACCGACTAAGTCATGTTCTTAATCCTTCATAAAAAATTTGAAGTGTTGTTTCTCTGATCTTTATATCCTTCTTTGGTTGAGAATAGTCGTTAAATTCTTACGTTGTAACAATTAATGATAGCCAAGAAATCCTTGCATAAACAATTCAAGGATAGCCTGCAAATTCTTGGAGGGAATGGTCAAAGATTGTTGTGAAATCTTCATTGTAAACGGTGCAAGATCGTCTTTGTGAAATATTAGGGTGAATCATATTAGCAAGGGCTCTTTGTCAAATCCAGTACGATGCGTTGGTGGAGTTCAAAGAATTGGGACTTAGTGAATTGAAAAATTCTTAAGAATGAGTCTTAAGGTACTCGAGTATACATTTCTCGAACTAATATAAAATTGATGTGTCATTTACTTTGCGTTTTTAATTCTACAATTTGTTCATTGCTTCCGTGTTTGCCAAAACCAATTTTATTGAACCCCAAAAATCTTAAGATTTCTTATTCACCCCTCTAAGACATGGACACATAGACTAACAAGTAATATTAGAGCAGGTTCGTAGTTGAAAGTGTTTGACCGTATTTACGACAAAGATCTACTTGTGCCATTTTCTTTTGAGTTTTGCCTTCACCTCTTTTGCTTTTGAATGCGCACCTTTTGGCACCCTTCACCTCTTGGGCTCTATAACTTTGCATGGTCTAACAAATGTTTCTAACGATGAAATGACTACAAATGGCAAGGATGCCAAGCTTGTTATCCAAGTAGGGTTGTAAACGAACCGAATCGAATCAAATATTCATAAAAAATATTCATATTCGTTAAGATGGAGTGATATTCGAATTCGAATTCGAATTTGGTTCGAATATTTTTTAAGATTCGTATTCGGTTCGTTTAATATATTAAACATATTCAGTTCGTTTAAATATTCGATTCGTTTAAATATATTCGGTTCGTTTAAAAATATTCAGTTCATTTAAATATTCGATTTGTTTAAATATATTCGGTCCGTTTAAAAATATTCAGTTCATTTAAATATTCGATTTGTTTAAATATATTCGGTTCATTTAAAAATATTCAGTTCATTTAGATTTTAAAATATTTTATAACCATTTGATATATATATATATATACATATATATATATGTGTGTGTGTATATATATATATGTATGTATATGTGTATATATATATATATATATATATATAATTTGTTATTAATCTAAATATAAGGCTTATATAAACAGTTTGAGTGCTTAGCTTATGGGAACTAAGTATAAGCATAAGCTATTCCTAAGCTTATAAATAAGTCTAAGCATAAGCATAAGCCTAAACTTTTTTAGCTTATGCTTAGTGGAATTTGCTTATGCTTAGTGCTTAGCTTGTTTTTTATAAGCTTTCATTTACAACCCTATATCCAAGAAGCGTTTAACTCATACCTTGTTTGAGAAAATATGATATTAACATTTTACAAAACTAAATTCAACTTAACATAAGAGAATCTCTTATATATCATTGCTCTTTGTCACATATGATCTATTTTCAATGTGATACCACTTTCTTTCCCCTTCAACTTTTCCCACTTTACTCAACATTTCACTAATTTTTTCATTATCTTTTTTTTAAATGTCATATTCCCAATGATGCAAAAAATGTAATGGACAATGAAATGTTCTCTCTCAAAAGAATATTTACCCCCATATTCCTCATCCCTCTCTAATCATTTCTTTTATCTTTTACCCTCCACACTATCATATTTCTCTTTTTTATCCCCCCATTAGGCATTCTCTAAGTTGGATTAAAGGATAAAGTTTTGTGTTTAATCAATCAAGGTTGATGAGTTATTATGGTCAACAACGTGCTTACTCATGGTAAGGTAAATTATTGATCGACCAATAGCTACACAATTCTAAAGATAGTTGTTGTAACTTTCCCAACATTAAAAGAGTCTCATCAACATCTTTATGCATCACCGTGAAAGTTGAGGTTTTTTAAAGACCAGGTAAAGTAAGAATTATTCTCGATAATTTTTTCTAAAGTAACATGAGTACATTTCATTAAAATTACATAAGTAAACACACATAAAATTAAATTGCATTAAATAAAAATTAAATTACAACAAATGTTTTTGGGGTTTTTACATTTTTCGTTTTTAAAGTTATTATTTCTTTTAGTTTTTTTGACATTTTTGTTTTTTACAAAACAATTTTTGACTAATTTTTATTGTTAGGAAATAATTATTTCCAAACACACGTATCAATGAAAATTAAGTCGAGAGTTTTGGAAATGAGTCTAAATTTCAAAGATTTACTTTCAGACTCTCATTTTTTGTCTACCTCAATGGTGGAGGGTAGAAAACGAACTTTAAGACTCTCCCATAGAGCTTGTCTTCGTCAGTTTATTATTATTTATTCTTATTAAAATCAGATCAGATTAGAAATAAATTTAAATTTAACTATAATCAAATCAAATGAGATCATATTACAATTTATTTTAATTCGATCAGAACCAATCAAATTAGGTGAAAAAAAGAAATTCTTTGACTTCCTCAAAATTTTCATTGGCAATGTGCTAATGTCACAAAGGAAGGTGAAAGGCCTTGCAAGCGCCATAAAATGGCTTCATTTCATGCAAAGAGAATCACTTTCATCTTTTTAAGATATATACGTCTTTAATAAAAAAAGGCACATTTTTTCTACCCATCCTATAGGAAACTAACTTACGTCCATGTCTATGGTTGGGCATAGAATAAAATCAGCCATTTTCTTTCTCTCCGCTAAAGAATCTATATTTTGTGTGTAGGGGGGGCATAATATGACATGTTCTAGAAAAGATTTTGTGTGGAGAACTCCACCGACGTGAAGGGGTTAGGTTAATATGGCATATAAATAAACTTCTACCATTCGTCCAAAAGCCCAAACCATGGGATCAATGGAGCCGGAGTCGGATCCGGCCCAAGACATCCATACATCGAAAACGCCCCCGGCGCACGTTAGCGCTCACCCTCTTTGCTTCTGGGTCCTTCGATCGTTCCCCCCTTTATCTTTCCAACCTTCTCTGGAGTCACCAGATCTACAATTTCTCAACGCTCCCCCTCTGCCCGGCTCGGTTCCTGCGTGTATATATTCGTACCTGCCGATTTCTCAGATCTGGAATCCGTTTTCTTTGCGCTCCTCGAATCTGCGGTCGATTTCGGCGGTTTTGATCGATTCAACCGATTTCTCGATATTTTTTGCATCGATTAAGGTATTGCACGCTGATTTTGCTTTAAATTTATCGTTTTTTTCATGATCGGAGAATCTTCTTTTTCGTTCTGGTTTCATCGTCCGATTCTTCGAAGTTTTTTTAATCGCGGTATTTTTAGAAGGTTATTGTTTCTTCTCTAATCAGATCTTCATTTTTTGTGTGTGTTCTCGGTTTCATGATTTGGGTAATCAGAAGACTTCGAGATTTAGGGGACTCTTCTGATTAACAGCGCCCTCATCAAAATCCGTGATTTTTTTTGCATTCGTTGTACCTGAAGAACGATATGAGATCCTAGTAAAGTATTGGAAAATTTCGGAATTTGTAATGTTAAAGATCTTGGTATTATTCCTGAAATTAAATTTTTTCAATATAAGAGCTTTGTTGGATCTTTAAATTTGTAATTTAAGTCAATGCTCTAATCTTAAATCTTAACCCAAAAAACGTAGGCAACACGTATTGATTTATCGTGCTTGGATATGCATTTTTTGTTGCAGAATTGTTATATTATCCCTTTTAATCTTGGGTATAATTTTCATTTTTATGTACATTTGAATATTTGAGATTATAAATGCACTCTGTTATAATTTTAGATTTCAGGTTCTCGAGATCTGTGATCAGGTTGGAGCATTCATAGAGGGATGGCTAGATATAAGAGCGAAGTAAGCTAGGCTATGCCTTAATGTTATATACTTATATTCGGGCTTGTTTGTTGCTAGTCATGGACCTCAAGCCCTCTTTTTGCAGGAATATGAGGGATTGGAGTATTTGGAACTTCGGAAACGGTTAAAAGAAGAGATTAGAAATAAAATGAAGAGAGAGTCGGGGACTGCTAGCAGCTCCCGCAATATCAAGGGTTCTTCGTCCAAAGATAAGTGAGTATTCTGGCTGGTTTCATAACTTTCTATCACTTGATTTCAAATTGAAGATTTGAGGTGGTGATACAGCACATTATATGCTGGAGTTGGGATGATTTTTAAGACTGTCTTGCTCTATTCATGGAATTGAGGACATTTTTGCTTGCATGATTCTTATATTTGTTTCAGTCAGTTGCCATGCCTTATAAATGTGATACTAGTTGTTTTCTTTGAGCCATCTACCTAGAAATTGATGGTAGTGTCTTATACTTATGTCCCTTTTAACATGGTTGGTAAATTCTATGTCCATATTTGTAAATATTTTATGCTGGAATGTTTCTTTCTTTTTGTCAAGGAGAAAAGGATGTATCCCTATATTTATAGTCTTACTCTCTCTTTGGTTTTTCAGTTTCGGCTCTTTCTTTGGACCATCACAGCCATTTATAGCTCAAAGAGTAATTGAAGAAAGCAAGGCCTTACTTGAGAATCCTGATCTGACAGCTAAGGTTATGAGGGGAATTAATTCGGTATGTATCATTTTAAATGCTCATTGATTTGAGATTGGATGCGATTATCTTAATTTTTATAAAACTCGTGGCCTTGTTACGTATGTTTAATGAGGAATTGATTTGACATATGCTTATAGATTTGGCTTCTTTTTACTTTGCAGAACTCTAAGCCTCATGATTCAAACTCTGTTAGACCAAATGTCAGTACCATTAGCAATGCACCAAAAGTTTCCAACGGGGTAGTTATTATTTATATGTGCAAGTTTTGTTTTATTCTGATTTTTCCGATCATTCACATAGATCAACCTGTGTCTGATCTGCAGGCAAGAGCAAAAATCCAGGAGGTAAGAAACGCAAGGGATTACTCCTTTTTATTATCTGATGATGCTCCTGCTCCTCCAAAACCTTCATTGCCTAAAAAAGTCTCTGCTCCCAGTCCTGGTATTTTTTTTCTATTATCTGTTTGTCACTCACGTCTTTTAAACGTAGTACTTTATTGAGAACTTGTATTTTTTTGGGTCATACTGAAGATTCACTGCGAGCACAATCTTTACCAAGGGATAAGAACCTTTCTAGCAGTGTAAGGAGAAATATTTCCAGTAGTCATGAAGTAAGAAGATCTCTCCCTGGGGACAGACAGTTATTGAAACCAAAATCTGTTTCAACCAGCAATCAAAGCCTTGCAGCAAGAGAATATAAGAAAGAACCTATTAGAAGCAATGCAAGGAGTCATGGTCAGCCTCTGGCACAGAAAAGTCTTCCTTTGAAGTCTTCAGCATCAGATCTAAAGAGACCCTTGCCTAATTTGCCAAGATCAAATCCTTTGAAACCACGTCCTCCCACCATTTCAAAGCATGCCTCGGTACAGAAAAAGCCATCTCAAGAATTTAGCAAGCAGAAGATGATTCAGAAACAACCAACTGCCACCTCCTTGAGACCTGCCCCTGCAAAGATGCAGAAACATGTTCTTTCTAAGCCTAATGGGGTAGTGCAGAAACGCGTGGTTCCATCCTCTAAACCTCAGGTATAATTGGGTTTTTTCACTCATGTTTTTCCCTGTTCTCATTCCACCAGTCCTGTTCTAGTATTTAGTTAAAAAATCAATGTAACTTTGGTTTTGGCAGGGGAAGCAGCCAGCTATAAAAAATCCAGAGCGTCGCCCAGCAAAAAGACCTACGAGATGGGATGAAGAAGACGATGATGACCCACTTTTAGAGATGAGAAAGATAACTCGGTAAACATTTTCTCCTCTTTGCCTTCTCGTCAAATGAACATGATTTTTGTATGGAATTTCACAGTATATATTCATATCCGTAGGTCTGAAATGTTTGTGGGTAATGAATGTTCTTTTGCAGGTATGATCCCAGTAAGTACCATGATGATGATGATGATGATAGTAATATGGAGGCTACTTTTGCTGACATTGAGAAGGAGGAATTGAGAAGGTGAGTAAACCATAGGGTTAGTTTCTAGCTCCATTGAACTTTGGTCAACTTACCACATATTTTTTCTATAAAATAAAGATACACACCTTGGCAACTTGAATTTTCTGTGAACAACACTAAAAATGATATACTATCACTTTGATTTTGGTAGGAATCGTCATGCAAAATTATTCCCAACATTTGGCCCTAAATCCCCCCCCCCCCTCTTCTCCCCCAAAAAGAAACATGTAATGATCATTATGATAAAAAGTGCATTAACAATAGAAAAGTCAGTCCACAATGCTTAATGACTGCACAAAGGATCAATGTGTAATTTAAATAAACAAGTCTTGTAATTTGACCAAACATCAAGGGGGGTAAATGTAACATACATGGAAGTCGCTTCGTGTTCTTATGATTCTTCAACACTTAAATCAATTCTTCAACCTCAAGGGAGGTTGTAAACGCAGGGACCATTCCACTGTTGCTCTCTTAAATCTAAATATCTCCTGGTTCTTTTTTCAGTGCCAGGATTGCCAGAAAGGAAGACGAGGAAGAGCTCCGCAAGATAGAAGAGGAGGAAAGGAGGGAACGATTGAAGAGAGAAAGGAGGGAACAATTGAAAAGAGATGCAAAGAAACAAAAGTTGAGGTGATGATGAGCTATATATACATATCTTGCCTCCCTCCTCCTCCTTCCCCGGTGGGGGGGGGGAGACGACGTCCCCCCCCCAAGGAAGGGACATGTGCCATGTATATTAGACATGCCTCAGGGCCTGTGTAGAGGAAGGCTAATATGAAATGCTGCTGATATGTGTAACACAATGATAAGTGAAACATTTGAAGTCAGCAGTTTTTCATAGGCCACTTTTGGGTCCGATGCCGGAAAGTTTCTCAGTAGGGGAAATTTAATTTAATTTCTTCTTTTTTTCTCCTTCAGATCCAGAGAGGATACTTGACCTCATTTGTCATTTTAGAAAAAAAAATCATATTGGAGAGGTTTTGTATAGTTTTTTTTTCCTTCTTTGCTCAGTTTGATCGGGTCCTTAACTTTAGGGTTAAGGGCATGTAACTGAGGAAGACTGCAATTCTTAAAATAAGAACATTATTGTTCTATATGTAATTGAACACTTCTGTGAAATTTCTGTAAGAATTCTTCAAGACTTGGAGTTGGAATCATCACCTAGTGCTAGTACTCCTAGTAGTACAGAGAAAGAATATATCCCAAGAAAAGATGCTTCAAGATGGAAATGAATGATATCCCAATGAAAATTAAGGGTTGGGATGATAATTGGACATAAACTACACAAACTTGTTAATTGTGCACTTTTCAAGTGAATAAAAGAATTTTAAATAATTTAAAAATAGAAATTTAAATATACCAAATTATTTGGGACTAGCATTTCTAAAAATATAAACATGGTTTACATGTGTAGATTGCGAGAATTAAGGATCGGGACTGTAAAGATTGACCAGGAAAAATCTTAGAATAGAAAAGATTGAATGTCCTACACGTCCATTCTTCTCTTTATTTCTCTTTATCCGTTCTAATTTAAATGTTATGATTTATAATATTTGAATTGAAATTATTTTTAATTTATTTTATTTAAAAAATTTACATTTCAAAAATTAAATAAAAAATTTTGTGAAACAAGCGGTGATATGATTATATTATTTTATGAAATGAGTAAAAAATAGGAAAAAAGTAAATGAAATTTGATTATAAATAGTAAATATACCACTTGATTTGGGGTAGAGGAGGCAGTACTTTGTACTTGTATTACCTTGTTTTGTTTATAAGAAAGATAGAATTGGAGTAAACTTGAAACAAAGGTAACCTAAAAAAGACTGGAGGGGTTTTATAAAAGAATCAATATAATTTTCTTCCCACATACTGTAAATATTTGTGCTACATCAAAATAAAGAATTAACGGAGGGAGTATTTTCTACACAAACACATCGATCCTAAAAAAATGTACTACGGGTAGTAATTTTTATACAAATACATCTATCACATTAATATATAGGAAAATACTTATGTTTTTGTTGATTGTATCAAACGTTTACCACAAAAATAATATTAATATCGCATAAATACATTTTATAAATAGACAGTATAACATTAAAAAATTAATGTAAAGATCGTACTATATTCGGATGGGTCCTAACCGAATTAGTTCTAAATAATATCGGACTTTCAAAAACGGCTAAATTGTTGTCCAGTCCTATATCGATCTTTCTAGAAAATCGACCCGACTTGATTTTAATGTTCATCTCTAGTGTGGTCATAGAAAAATTTGGCCCTTCTACCAAGAGCATTATGTCCTAGTATCATGGCATAAGAATTGAAGTGCATATACAATTCATCCGATTGTACCTAGTTTTAGATACAACAACTTAATATTCATTTTAAAATAACAAAATATTTATTTTGAAGCAACAAAATGCTTAAAATTTTCATCTTGCAACAACTAGATATTCATTCTACAAAAGGCCTATATCTTCTTCCTCACAGCCCAAACTGCCGCTGCTGGCCAACCACATACGCCATGCTGGAAAGCCAACCATCGCCACCGACCACCACAAAACAACTCTTTTTCTTTCGGGATGGCCGGCCCAACCCGCTACCACTACCTCCACCGAGCTTCCCGCACCTAGGTTTTGTCGCATAAAGGTTTGGATTTGTTGTTCACGGTGTCAGAAAATAATAAAAAATTAATAATAATAATAATAATAATAATAATAATGATATTATTATTATTATTATTATTATTATTATTATTTATGGTAGTATTAATTATGGTAGTATTTGACAGTCAGCTAGGTTCATATTCCTATTTATAGTAGATGTATTTTAGTTAGTTTTCATTATCTATTCTTTGTTGTGTAGGAATGTTTCCTATATATACCCTACCATTAACTTCATAATTAAATGAGCAATATTATTATTCCAATATTCCAACACACGCCTTCTCTTCCTTCCCCGTTCTTCATCTTTCTTCCTTGTTGCTCATCTTCCTCTTCTCCCCCGCGCCTACTCTGTCGCCCTTCGCCATTTTAGAAGCTAGTTGTACTCATCTTTTGTTACAATCGGATGTATAATATAATTCTCGCCTATCCACAAAAAAATTCATTCTTTTTTCCATAGACATTCCGATAACATTTCTTACATTTCATCAACGCTATGTTTGGTTCATGGAATTTCGTATGAAAATAAAAGAAAATACTTTTCTTTCATCTTCCTCGCTAAAATAGGAAAATTTTGGTTTTCTCTCCTCTACGTATATTTTTTCTTCTCATTTTCTTATTTCCGTCAAAATTTTTTATCTTTCGTTCACAATTCATTCCTATTTTGATCTTAAAAGACTTATGACTCTTATTTTGTTATTTTTATAGTTTTTTACTCATACCTTCTCTAAATAATATAGTCATGTCACCTCTTGTTTTGAAAAACTTTTGATGCAATTTTAAAATATATAATTTTTTATTTTTGAATTGCACCTATAATCAAATTAATTGAATTGAAAATAATTTAAGTCAAACCTCATAAATCAAACTATGAAAAAAGTTTTAGCATTTATATCAACATATTTGTCGTACATAAGAAAATATATCTTTCTAAAAAATAAAAATTGAATTCAAAAAAAAGATGAGCCTCATCCCCGAGGACCCCCTCAGATGATTCGGTCGGACGGTCACTGAAAAGAAGTAAATTAGACTTTAATCACAGATTAATGACAAAGAGTGAACCTGCATTCGATACTTGCAGAGGCCCTATGCTTAACATAATTGTCTTCCAACGCAGTTGACAGGAATCAAAGTAAATCTGTACTCACTTACCAGTCTTTGCTTTTGTCAATTGCACAACGATCACCCCCATAAACTAATGAATTCAAATGTGTGGAGTGAACTATTCAAAATCTAAATGCTCCATAGGCGATAATAATTGACTTTTCTTTCTGCTAGCTATTGGACATGAAGAAATAAATAAATACGGAGTACTCCCTCCATCCCGGAGTTTTCGTCCAATTTTGACTTTTGGAACTGTTCATCTAAACACTTTGACTCATCAAATTCTCTCAATGTGTAAGCCTAAATATAGTCATGTGTGATCTTGTTTGATTTGTCTTAACATATAGATTATTAATATATAATTTCTATAATTTTTTAATATACAAATTACAAGATAAAATGGATTAAAGAAGTGTATTGAATGATGTGTAAAAATGAAAGTGGACAAATACTCTGGGACAGAGGTAGTACATAAAATCAATAACCCAGAAAGTGACATTACGGCTATACGACTTTTGTACAAAGTTGCAAACACTTTCACCACCACAATCATCGGAAAACCCCCCTCTCCCATCATCATGACATGATCATGATATCATTTTATACTTTGTCCTTCTTCAAAGATTCTCACAATTTCACTGCGAGTTATACAAAAAGTATATTTAGTTATAATAAAAATTTACTAAAAATTGATTTATTTTAAAATATACTTTTGAAATATCAAATCTTATAATATTTAATTATTTAAAATATATTAATTCATAGTCAAAAAATGTCACAACTTAATTAAACAGACAAATTATGACAATATTTTAGGGAAATAGATAGTATCTACATGTCATATGCTCATATGTGATGTATCCATTCCCATCAAACGTGGGTCCCACCAACCCTCCCCCCTCCGCGTCAGAAAAATCGTTAACAAATCGTCACGCCCAATCTTCCCACCCCCACCTCCATAAAACTATAAATACTCTATTAAATAGAGCTGTCAAGCTGCAAGAAATTAAAGCAGAAGAAAGAAAGAAAGAAATATTACAATCCATTGGTTTTCTTTTTTTAAAGCAGGAAAAAAAAAGAGACTTTGAAAATAATGTCTTCTGGTTTTGATCAGCAAAGGCTGGTTGTGAAGAAGGTTTTGGCCAAACAGCAAAGCGAGGGCGATGGGGCCCGCGTTAGACGAAGCATCGGAAGGTACTTTTTTCGTTCTTCTGGAATAAGGTCTCGAGTTGAACTAATTAATTCACAAAAATTCGATTTTATTTTTTAAGTCGGGAAAAAATATGGTTTGCAGGCATGAATTGAAGAACATTGATCCATTCCTCATGCTGGATGAGTTTGAAGGTACATTTCCCTTGATTATGTATTTGGGTTTTTTTTTATTGAATGGAACCATATGTTTGGTAACTTTTTTTTTACCAAACAGTTTCACCACCTGCTGGATTCCCTGATCACCCACACAGAGGCTTTGAGACTGTTACATATATGTTAGAGGTAATTATTTTTTTTACCACGAATTCGATTCGATTATACGAAAACGTGTGTACGTATGGATAAATTCTGCGTACTCGCAAACCCATGTTGCAGGGTTGTTCTTATTGTGTGTGTATATATAGATATGTTCCTAACATTTATATTCCTTGATTCTTTTGTAGGGAGCTTTCACTCATCAAGACTTCTCTGGGCATAAGGGCACAATAGGAACTGGTGATGTGCAGGTATGCTTTTAAAAGAATGATGATTGATTATGCTCTTGTGTTTAAGTTTTCGAGCGAAAAGAAAAACCCCACACAGGGTCTGGGAAGGGTGGGTGTCCGCAGACATTTGCCCTAACTGGAAGCAGACAGAGAGACAGATTCCGAAAGAACCGAACTCGAGGGTTTGTTTTGATGAATTGCATTAGTGTTGCAGTGGATGACAGCGGGAAGAGGCATCGTTCACTCCGAAATGCCCGCGGGCGAAGGCACACAAAAGGGCTTGCAGCTGTGGATCAATCTTGCCTCCAAGGACAAAATGTAACCCACTCTTCTTCTTCTTCTTCTTGGACAAAATGTACACAAATTCATCATTTTGACCAATTTATAAAGACCATTCTGTAAAAGTAAAACAAAGTGGCATTTTTTTCTGCTTATAAGCTGACTTATAAGCTGCTTATAAACCAAAAAAAAGATGTTACCTACTTATTTTTAAGCTAGCTTTTTCTTTTATCCATTTTGATCTAATTAATAACAAGACTTTCTCTCAATTATTATGAATATCCCCAAATCACTTATATATCATTTGAGTCATTTAATATACACGAAAGGATATTTGACTTATAAGGAGCTTATAAGTTAAAAATTACTCCGTATTAATTAGCAATACGTCAATAAGCACCAGCATAGAAAAACAACCTCAAAAAAACATCTCTTGTGTCATGACTTGGTGGGACAATTGTGGATGTAGGATTGAACCAAACTACCAAGAGCTGCTGAGTAGAGACATCCCAAGTGCAGAGAGTGATGGGGTACAAGTGAAGGTAATAGCAGGAGAGGCAATGGGGGTGAAATCCCCCGTGTACACGAGAACCCCAACGATGTACCTAGACTTCACCCTCCAGCCTGCCACCGAATACCACCAACGCGTCCCACAATCTTGGAACGCGTTCGTTTACGTCGTAGAGGGCGAGGGCAGTTTCGGCACCGAAAACTCGCGCACCCCCGCGGCAGCCCATCACTGCCTGGTGCTGGGCCCCGGGGAGGGCGTGAGCGTGTGGAACAGTGCCTCTTCCGGGCAGCCCCTGAGGTTCGTCCTGCTCGGCGGGCAGCCCATCCGCGAGCCTGTCGTTCAGTGCGGTCCTTTCGTGATGAACACCGAAGCCGAGATCGAGCAGACGTTCCAGGACTACCATCTCTTCAAGAATGGGTTTGAGAAGGCCAGGCAATGGAAGTCTCATTCCATTTCAGGCAGTAGAAAGAGAATGTAACAAGTAATAATGTCTTGGAGTTTATCCAGTGTCCACTCTTGTCTTAATCTTTTCTTTTGTATACACGCAAACACAAACACTTCATAGTGTTTCACATTTTAAATTTCTTCATTACTCCCTTTTAGTTTGTATTGTTTCCATCAAATTCTCATTTGTGGGTGAATTGAAATAAAATTGTCTTTTGTATTTCACAGATTAAGTTGTTTTTTTCTCTCATTTTGGTATAGAAAGCAAAAGCTGTACTTGTTTAGTCTGAATTTAGTTGTCTACTTTACAATATTACCATAAATTTTGGGTGTTTCTCTGTGCTTATAAGTTGTTCAAAAACTACTTATAAGTAGTTTTTAGTTTATAAGTCAATTGATGACATGTTACTGTGTACTTATAAGCTGACTTATAAGCTGCTTATAAACTAGAAAAAATAAGTAGATCTTAGCTACTTATTTTGAAACCAGTTTTTTCATTTCTTCGTTTTGACCAGATTATCTATAAAACTGTTTCTCACCATTTATGAATATTTATCAATGATTTATCTATCATTTAAGTCATTTAAGTCATTTTAACTCCATGAAAGAATATTTAACTTTAAACATCTTATAAGTTAAAAACTACTTATCAACAATAAGCTAATAAGCACTAGCACAGAGAAACATCCACTGTATCTTAAAGAATATTTTTTCCCCGTTCCTGACTTTTTAATAATCACCAGATTTTTTAATACGACACTTTGATCACTAATATTTTTTTATTCTACTCTGAATATTATAATTTTATAGGCTCAATATTTATTTTTCTTCTCTCTTTTGAAATCGAATATTAAAAAGTAATCAATCAATCCACCATCCACCCAAATAAAAGGGGATAGTGAATGGCCTTTTTTAGCGGTTGATGTTTGAACATTAAGTCAATCAAATCACATGTAGTTGAATTTTGATACAACCATAAACAACAATATCACCAATGTGCCTCTAAGGCTCCCGTCCATTTGGGGAGCCTAACTCCTATGTTTAAAATATAGAGCAACTATTTTCAGATGATCATGATGAGCGTTCAAATTTGCATTAATTAATTGCTACTTTACTATTGAAAAAGTACACACAATTTAAAGAGTCATTTTGCTTTATTCCATATTTCCATCATACTCAAAGTAAAAAAGTAGTAAATCTTTAGCTCCATCCGATATGATGGAAAATTAATTGGATTTTGATACAAAAAAATCTCTTAAGACAACTAAGACCTTTTCGAATTCCTTAAGCAAACACAATTCCGTTTCTGGTTTAGTTTGGCTCTCTAATTATTTTGAGTTCAATTATAATTTAGATACATATTGCTTCGGATAAATATCAATTCGGGTCTAGGTTCAGATATAAATGATTCAAATACATACTAGTATTATGATTTAAGGTGGTGTATTATTTGGTTCGAATCCACACCCGGGATCCTACCTAAATCAGTTTAGACCATCACTTTTTGGTTTGGGCAAATATTGAACCTTAAAAGTGTATCACTTTTGCCCAAATCTTGGTTGTCTTCTGAGTTCCGAAATACTCCCTCCGCCTCATATATTTCTTCCTGTTTTGCAACGACAACTTATGCACAAATTAAAGTCGCAACATCACACGGCAACCTTAGAGTCGCACATCCTAAATGCGACGACAACTTATGCACAAATTATATATTGTCAAAGATGATCGAATCAATAAATACCACCATCATCCACACTAAACCTTTTGGTCAATTTCCAGGGATGGGTTTTTGGAATTCATAAAGAAACAACTTTAGTTGAAACTATAACAAACCAAACGGCTGCAGTTACAGGGTGTATGTATAATGATTTGCTGGATTTAGAAAAAAAACTACATAGTTGTACAAATTTACTACTATCATATCATTCTTACAACCCGTATACCGTAACATCTCTTGCAAATAACAAATAATAATGAAATAAATGGACAGACAGACAAAACAAACAAATGAACACACAGACCAAATAAATGATGTTTGGTAATAGAAAAACTCTTGGCTGGTTACCTGGAACAACAAGAATGGCCTTGATTCTGCTTGTTTGATGCATCCGAGGAGCCATTGCCAACCAGGCTAACCCGGTTAACAGATACTTCGTCTTTGAAAGAGTCTGAGTTCAAAACCTTTCTGCTTACATTGTTATATATCTCTCGGATAACCATGTCAAAAGCCTGCTTCACATTTGTGGAATCCAGAGCAGATGTCTCCATGAAGAATAACCCATTGGCTTCTGCCAGGGCTTTTCCCTCTTCTACACTCACATCCCTGATGTTCCCCAAATCACATTTGTTGCCCACAAGCATCCTCGCAACGGTTGTGTCAGAATGTGCTGCACGTGTCACGAAAGCATTGTTTTTTAGACCAAACTTCCAGGAAGCATTGGGGAGTAATTTGAAATAAGGAAATTCGGGGGCCGAAAAGGTTTAATTATCTGAACAATTATAAATGTATCTTTCACATTAGAAAGTAGTACTCCACAGTATCTAAAATGAAGGTAGAAGTGTTTTTTGCTTTAATTTCAGCAAAAAAAAAAAACTTCTGCACTAATCTTTTCACTGTCGTACAGTTTCACTGATAAACATAAAAAAGCAAATTAGAAAGGGTTGTGAAATAAGGGTTCTTTGCTAAGTGAATCTGATGATATTATTATTAAAAAACTCAAGCAATGATTCAAGATGAGTTACTCCACGCCAGTATTGTGACTCGGGTTCTGAAGAATATAAAAGCACTCTAGGGCAAGGACTAGTCTTTATAGACACAGGAGTAATACCATTGTGGGGTATTGCAATGCAGAGAGGTCAAGGAATAAAATATATATGTAACAAGCTCAGTACATACTCCCTGTGTCTCATGGTTTATGTCCACTTTCATTTTGGCTCTTAGACCAAGGAGAATGGAATAAGAAGATGAAATGACCAATATACCCTTTTAGGCAGATGGCACCTGTCCAACCCTTTTAATTAACCAGTGCCACTGATCCGCTATTGTCTAACCCTTCTGGTTCCTTACCCTTATAACTACCAAGTACCCCATTTATTTCCTCCTGAGCACCATGTCGTCGATCTGCTATTGTCCACCATCACACCATCACGCCGAGAAGTAGCTGCTGAGTGCCGCCAGCCTGCCGAATGTGTAAAAGTGCTTTTTTTGTCACAAGGAATGAATGTTCCAACAAAAGCTGTGTCGCCGTGAATCTGCCCATGTGTGTTCATATTCAAAGAAAAACCTAAAGAAGAAAGGCCCCTGTTTTCTTTGGTTATGTTCTGCCATTGTCAACCACCAACTAAAGAAGAAAGATACTCCTATGATCTGCTGCCTTCTTTGACATAAACAGTTTGGCAGGAATGGTATTACACTAATTCAATTTTGAGGTGAAGGAGACGAAAGGGTGGGGTCAAGTAGTAGAAGAAATGGACATTGCCCATCTATTACTTTGCCACAAAAGGGAAGTGGACAAATACACAAGGACAGCCTAAAAAAAGGAAAAGTGGATATATATTTTGGGATGAAGGGAGTATAAATTATGTGCTCCAACTTGAGGGAGGGTGTGGAATACTGCTTTAAATAGAATATTCTGTTGTAAAGTAAGAATTCTAGAGGCTTGGAAGACACCCTTAATGTCATTAGAAAGGCTTAGGAATCTTTGGTGGTATATATTCCTGGTACTCTTACATATAAATGCCAGAAATACATATCGAATTATGCTTTATTCTCAATTACCAAACTGATATTTCATTGAAAAGGAGCACATATACTTCAGTATGGTATTAGAAGAGAAAAGGTCATCAATTCAAACCTCAAAGGTTACATATAACAAAAATATTTGCATGATATAATTTTCATCATGATATTTTAAAATTTAAATATATAATCAAAATATTAAAAAATTTAAGCCAGGTCAAAGCAGTGAAGGGAGGATGAACAAGCAATTGCGTAGGAAGTTGGTTGCTATTATCAAACAACAACAAACCCACTATAATCCCACAAATGTGGTGTGGCCTGTGGGAGGGTATAATGTATGCAGACTAGACCTGGCAATCGGGTCAATCGATTCAGTTCCGGTTTGGATCTTTTCGATTCGAGTCTCTTTCGGATATATGTTATAATCGGTTCGGGTCAGTTCGGTTTCGGGTTGAATTCGGTTTGATTTTTTCCTGGTTTCAGGTCGGTTTCGGTTTGGGTTTTATATTGGTTTGGGTTTATATCGATTCGGGTTTATACCGGTTCGGATTTATATCGGTTTCAGATGAGATCCCTTGGTGTTAGAGTTCATAATGTTAGCCTTGTGTGTAGCTTCTCCTCCCTATGTGAAAAGGGAGTATATATACAAGTGTCAGTAATAATGAGCTAGTATATCTATTAATGTGTGTTACGATGTCACTATAAATTATATAAACTCTCTATAAAAATAGACAACAACCTTAGTTTAAGTGATAAAATACGGAGTAAAAGATTTGTACATCAAATTAGTTGTACCTATAATTCAAATATGTTTTCCTTAGAAAGACATCAACCAATGAGCTATTAGGGTTTGTCTGAATTTGGGTTTAATTTGTTTTGAGATCGATTAATATCGGCTCTATGCGGTTTTTTGGTCTAATTGGTTTTGGGTTTAATTGGTTCGGATCTAACTCTTTCGGTTCAATCAGATCCAGAACTGAATCAGGCCTGAAAACATTCGGTTTGGTTCAGTTCATTTTGAGTGTTCGGGTTTAATTCGGTTCTTCAGTTTTTGGGTCATTCCGGATTCGATTCCGAGTTATTCGGTTCGAGTTATCAGGTCCGGGTCAGTTTTGTCAGGTCTAATGCAGACCTTACCTCAACTTACTAGTGGAGAAGCTATTCTGGATAAACCCTCGACTCAAAGGGATAAAATAAAAAAAATGACAAGAACGTAAGCAACAAGAACAACAACATTATTACCCTAGTGCCTCAATGGCTCCCGCCCATTGCGCGGTAAGGGGGGTCGGATGTATGCAGTGTGACCCAATGTTTAAAACATAGAGCGGCTGTTTCCAGATGACCCATGATGAGCGTCGAAAGTTGCATTGACTAACTGCTACTTCACAATTGCAAGAAGCGCATACACTTTAAGGAGCCAATTTGCTTTATTCCATAAAAGATCAAAGGGAAAACTCTCAGCTCAATAAAATAAAACTCTCAGCTCAAAGGGAAAACCCCTTGTAATAAAAGGTCATTTATGAAATTTACTCTAAAATAAAATAAGTCCAGAAGCATATCCCACTAGAAAAAGTAGCACATTCAAGTCACTTAGGAATACACCACTCCTCGGCCCTCGCCCCACGCAAAAGAAACTCCCCTGCATCTGATCCCCACCGTGAGGGAAAAAATGTGCCCGTGATCTCCGCGGATCTCCAATCCCCACAAATAATCATGATTTTTTTAAAACAATTGAACATCTTTTTTTTGTTAGAGAAAATTATCTGTTTAAAATTATCAAAAAATAATTAAAATTCAAATATAACAAATCTCAACTCATATTGCATTAAAATTTGAACAAAAACAATCAAATAGAAACAAGGGAAGATAGTTTTTGCCATTATTTTGATAATTTGTCTAAACTAAAGTTGGAAAAGGAGAACACTAAGATTGAAGTGTTGAGAAGTTCAGTGACTAGCCGACGATAACAATTAAGGTCGATGAGAAAAAGATGAGGGGTGTGTTAGGCGCGATTGAGAGTGGGCAGGGTTAAATGGGAATAGCTCCCCATCCCCAAATTAATGGGAGGGGAATTTTTGTCCCCATCCACGTTCTAGCACGAAAGTCACCTATCTGAAGACCCCAATGTCGGATTCCCCGTGGAGATCCCCGACTCTACATCCCTCCATTATCATCCCTATGAGCGTGAAATTCGGTACACTGGATTTTTAATAATGGATAGTATGAGATTCATTCATAGCCGGATTTTGGTATATCAAAAATTTTGGTACGGAGGTGGAACTAGTAAGGTCACAATGATGTACATATAGCAGGGTGGTTACTATGTTGCGTCAGATAGGTGAAACTATGAAAGTCAGCAACAGAATAGAATGTTAGCTGTTTTTCTGCGAATAGAAGACTACCCACTCTCTTGTTCAATAGTGAAGCAGGGCACCAGTTGCCAACAGAAGACTAGCACCTGACTGAAGACTCTTCTCTTGTGGAGCATGTGGTGCAAGCCTTTTGCTAGTTCAATTTGTTGATACTATTGCTAATCCAGTTTATGTTTTAAGGGTGCATTATTGCACATAGCCACATATTATGTGGTGATCCGATTTTGATAAAGAACTGATCTATGATAGGTTTGACTGTTTCACACTGGAGGATATATTTCTCCTATAGACACTCAATACATTTCTGGGACAATGCTTTAGCACGCCACAACTTTTTTCCTTCATCTTTAATATTCTCCTTTTGTCACCCTACACGGTTTACAGTTCTAGTATAGCAAGGTCATACATATCCAATAACTGCCAAGTTGTCAAAAGCTTAAGTTATAGAAGGCAGTTGCGTGTTGGGTAGAGAATAAATGAAGGCAGATGGGTAGAGAAACGTCTAGAGCTCTAGGGTTTGGTTGGGTAACCTTTTTTACAAGAACAATTCAATCAAACTATTTTAATGACAACCAAGTCTTATTAGCCAAACACTATAAACAAGAAAGCCCAGATTTTCATATAAAACTGTAACTTTTTGCAGAATGATAGAGCTGTAAGTATAAAACGCCATACATCTCATGGGGTTTACGCCTAAATGGTCTGAGTTTTTTTCTCTAGAGGTGAGCATCAAGTTGTAACTCCTAAGCTTCAATAGATTTTTAAAACTGCTTTACAATGGGCAAACAATAAACAGTGTTAGGCATACTTCGGTATGTCTATGTGTGTTCAGTTCCATTATGACTTTCGTTGGACTCAAGGCATTTGCCTACACAAAGACTTCAGTTATTGCATTAGATATTTAAAATTTAGCAGAGTCGTTTAAGTCAATAAAACATTGACTACAACTATTATTATTTTACTCCATACTTTTTAGTAAGTAAAATCAGTATAACTATTTTTGCCTAAATAAAAGGATGAAAATTGTAAATCCTCACTTTTTAAAATTAAATAGCCTACAAGAGATTAATTTGGATTCTCTACATGTTACAGTTAGCTAACTATATTTCTCTAGGCTGAGCTGACATTCCCTGTATTAAAGGAAATCCAGGAACTAATCAAATCAAATGCTTCCATAATAGGTTAATGTCCATACCCCATTACTTAACAAAGTTTCAAAAGTCAATAGCAAAAATGCATCTACTCTAAAGGCTACAGATGGGTAAAGAGACATTCCATCTACCTTAACAAACTCTTCTCATTTTTCTTCCTTTTTCCTTTTTTACTTATTACTCCGTACTTCTTAACACTTTTTAATACTCCATCAAGTCAAACCATGAGCATCATTTTTGGACAGAGGGAGTTATACATACTCCATACACACACACACACACACACGCACACACACACACATATACACAAAAAAAAGGATATATTAACAAAAATGAAGCCAGTTGCTTGTCACATCTCACAAAGGAATGTGGGCATATTTACACAAATGTCACCACCTATTTTAAAATGCTGGCATTTTGTAATTAATTTCAGTATAAATTGCATCTTTTTTTGGGGTAACAATATAAAATGTGTGCTATTCATACAGGGTGTAGTTCAAATATTTGCAAGGAATATAAACTATAAAGGGTGCAGTTCAAATATTTACAAGCAAATGTATATGTTTACAAAAACATATAAACAAAAATGAAGGCAATCACGTGTCAGTTTATGACAAAAAATGTCACCACCTATTTTTAAGTGCTGTCATTTTGTAATTAATTTCAATATAAAGTGCATTTTCTTTATGCTAAAAGTGCAGAAATTTTACCCATAAGTGTAATATCAGTGAACATAAAGTGCAAAACATTTCAAAAACAAAAATAATCATCTTTTAAAAATAGGCTCAGCCCTTGATTTTTAAAATTAATGGTGTACACACACACACACACACACGAAATGGTCTTTGATTATAGTGGGTTTTTAGGATAATCTATGCATTAGTATCTTCCAATTTTATGATTGGTTTTGGGCGAACAAGAAAGTTATATGAGTGTAAGCATGGTGCGAAATAAAAGTTGTGATTCTATGTATATAGTGCATACAGTCCAGCAAAAACACCTTCTTGTTGAAAACTGTGAATGGTTTTATTAATGCCCTTTCAGAAAGGCTATTTTGACATTGTTGCTCCATTCTCATGTAAAAAAAAAGTTTCATTTATAAAAACAAGAGCCTCACTTTAAAAAAAATCCTCAGATTTTCAATGCACCATATTCATTCTCAACTTAGAACTAAAATTCAAAATGAAAATGAGAAATGGAGTAGTAGTGAGACATACTTTGAAGCTCCTCTAGCCAACGAGGGATGCTATCGAAGGTAGTGCGGCGGGTGATGTCGTAAACCACCAGTGCGCCGAGGGCGCCACGGTAGTAGGCGGAGGTGACAGCGCGGAAGCGCTCTTGGCCGGCGGTGTCCCAAATCTGGGCTTTGACTTCTTTGCCGTCGATTTCGATGGTCTGGGTCTGGAATTCGACTCCGATTGTGGACTTAGAGTGCATGTTGAACTCGTCCCGGGCGTAGCGGGAGAGAAGATTGGATTTCCCCACGGCGGAGTCGCCGATGATCACTACTTTGAAGAGGTACTCTTCTCCCTCTTCGTCGGAGGAATCCATTGATTGGAGCTGCTAGTAGCTAGGGCGCGGGGTTAATTTCAGGAGGAGGAGGAGGAGATCTAGGGGGAGAGAGGGGTGATGGTGGGTTGAGCTGGCAAATACAAGACAGTGCCGCGATGGAAGTGGGTCTGTAACATGGTGTCACTTGTTCCATTCTTCCACATCATTAGTTTTAGTTGCTCTTTAGCAACTTCTGAATAGGTAAGTGCTGAACCAGTAAAAGATTTGAACCATTAAGTGCTGAACCAGTAAAAGATTTGAACCATTAAGTGCTGAACCAGTAAGAGGTCTGAACCATTAAGAGCTAGTATATTGCTTAACTATTCAGAGGCAAATGTGTGATCAATTCAGATAAAAAGTCTTAATCATTCAGACTCTGTATAATACTTAACCATTCAGAGGCAAAAGTCTGAGCCATTCAGACATCTGAACCATTAAGAGGCTGAAACAAACAGCCTGAACCATTAAGTGCTGAACCATTCAGACATTTGAACCATTAAGAGGCTGAAACAAACAGCCCCTTAATCTTTTTTTAATTTAGTATACATTTTTAGAGCATCTGGAACATGTAGTGTAAAAATTGATAGTGTAAATTTCATTTTACACTATCAACATTATTTTATATTTACATTTTTTGTACTTACTCCAACCATATTTTGTATAATATATCCTTAATACATTTTTATTATTTTCCCTATCTACAATCAACTTGTAAAAATACACTATGCCAGTTGTATTTGGGGAAGGTTCGGGTGACATTAGTCTCTCATGTCATTCTATGACATGAGCCTCGATTGGAGCACCTACGGGGCTTTGTTCAAAAAATTTGATGGTTCATATCCCAAACCCCTCCACCCCAGCCCGAACCAAATCGATCCCCCACCCCCTCAAATTGCACCTCGCAAAATTTAGTTGACTTTGGAAGTCAATTAAATTTTGCGGGGTGCAATTGAAGGGGGTGGGGGATCGGTTTGGTTTGGGCTGGGGTAGGAGGATTTATCGGGAGTGTTTGGGGGATAGGAATCAATCTTTTTTCGAACGAAACACCGTAAGTACCCCATGTCATCTTATGACATTGAAATTCAATAGCACTTGAACTGAGCTGGCTGTATTTTACCCTACATTATAGTTTAGTAGTTGTTTTACACCCTCCCTTGAAGTGTCAAAAAATAACCCATAAAGTGTATATTGTATAAATTTTATCATATAGCCTATACACTCGAGTTGCTCTTACTAGAAATGGGATTGAAGCTCGGGGCTTCAAACTGGAGATTTAAACATTGATTTTTTTTAATTTTTTAATACACTTTTTGTAAAACTAATTAATAATATTTCATTAATTAATTAAATCTGATGGGTGTATTCCACCCATGACCGGTCAAAGGAAGAGACCAGATAGTTGACCGGTCAATCTTGAAAGTTAAGGAGAGGGACTTTAATCATCAGCCAGAGGACACTCAAATCGGTCAAAAGGTGACCGGTATACTTCAAAAAAAGTATACCGGTCAAACTAATACATGGCTCCATTCATCCCTATTGATGGGTGTATCCCACCCATGACCGGTCAAAAGAGAAGACCGAATCATTGACCGGTCAATCTTGGAAGTTCAGGGGAGGGACTTTGATCATCAACCGGAGGGCACTCAATTGGTCAAAAGGTGACCGATATACTTCAGAAAAAGTATACCGGTCAAACTACTTTATCACTCCGTTCATTCCCTAATTTCGATAAACTCATCCCTCAGAAATTACCGGGTGTAGTTTCTACGGTTAGAAAGCGTCGGCGGAAGATAATCTAAAAGGGCTTGGACTGTAGCGACCCATGTCAGTGGAGAATTGCTGGAGATGCTTGAGGAATCCAGACAAGGCACTACTTGACAAAAGGGAATAATTCCCCTCACAAGGTGACAAGGTAGCTAGAGGACGAGGCCCATCACCCCTCACCATCCGAGAAGCGTGCCCCCACGTGGGCGCACGTGGTCCTGTTCCCCCCAAACCTAGTATATATACTGCTGTAAACCTCAAAAAGAGTGATCCGAATTCATTCTCTCTAAACTCCCTTGTAAAAGTAACCGTGCATTCTCTGTTATAATATAACTTGGGCTACAGATGTTCCACCTAAAGTCCTACCGGTCAATCTGAGTGTTTTACTTTCTTTACTTTACCAAATCAAGCAGACTATTCTAGACCCGGTCTAGTATAGTTTGACCGGTCAAGTAATTTACACCATCAAAATCTATATGACAATAATTTATTAAATAAAAAAGTTTCATTCAATTTATTAACTAAAGCATATTATACTTAGTTTCGATCTCATTTTGTCTTTTCTCGCAATACATATGTTTGAATCTCGTTAACGTATTAATTAAGTGAGTTACTCCCTCCGTCCCAGAGTATTTGTCCACTTTCATTTTTACACACCATCCAATGCACTTCTTTAATCCATTTTATCTTGTAATTTGTATATTAAAAAAATTATAGAAATTATATATTAATAATCTATATGTTAAGACAAATCAAACAAGATCACACGTGACTATATTTAGGCTTACACATTGAGAGAATTTGACGAGTCAAAGTACTTAGATCAACAGTTCCAAAAGTCATAAGTGGACAAAAACTTGGGGACGAAGGGAGTATATTATTTCGAACTCCTCATTTTCCATCATTTGTTTCTCCCTTTCTTCTTTCCTAAGATTAAATAACCGCATTTGTTAAACCATTTGTCTGATGATATCATCGTGAGAGGAAATAGAGTCGGAACCAGAACTCGAGGCAATTGATTTTGCCTTCTTTCTTCAGATCGGTCGTGGAACGGGGTTCTCATCATCAGACTCATCTAGGTTGACGAAAGGCCTTTGTTCCGATGAGTCGATGGTATCCTCTATGTCAACCTCTCCGGATTATCTTTTCTTTGACGATACGGTCTTACGGTTGCAGAGTTGTTGCCATTTTGGTGAACAGCTTAAAACTCTCCATAAATCAGCGGGGACTTTTCCTTGGTTTCTGTCACAATAAAATATTTTTTATTTTATGATTATTTTTTTTATGAAATAAGAATATTGATTTAATATTTTAATAATTAGTCCATATATAAAATAGAATAAATTTTTAACTCATATATACATTAAAAAGTAATTATATTTATTTTTTAAAAGAATCGTAACAAATGAAACAAGTAAAAAGTATGGAATTTAAAAAGCATGGAGTAAAAACGATAATGATAATGATGATGATGATGATGATGATGATGATAATAATAATATTAATAATAATAATAATAATAATAATAATAATAATTCCTAATAATAATAATAATTCTTGATTGGATCTGATCTGGTCTGATTGGATCTGATTGCATCTTATCTGATCTGATTAGATCTGATCTGATCTGATTAGACCTAATCTGATATGATTTTAAGAAGAATAAGAAAAAAGCAGTAAAAAATAGGCTAAATTCCATAGTTGGTCTTTCAAGTTTTTGCGTCATGCACTGTTAGTCTTTCAACTTCCACGAATCGTCCTTCAAGTCACGTTAACATTGCACGATTGGTCCTTCCGTTAAGTTTTCCGTTAGTCCATGTATTCCATTTTTCATTATAAATACACGTGAGAAACACTCTCTTTTTCATACAATTGAGTCATATTTCATGTAGATCCATTGTACTTAAATGTTAGATAACAAATTAACCCAGATTGACTGCAAACAATCAAAACTTGATACAGTGGTGGACAGTGGTGGATCCACTTACAATGAGTTTAGGGCAAATGCCCCCATCTAATTTTTTGTGATAAGGTTAAAAAATATTATTTTTTAAAATTTTATATACATATGCCCCCAACAAAAAATTAATGTGATATTATCAAATTAGGTTAAATTTAAATTTTTTGTTTAATTTTTTTAGTAAAGAGTATTTTTATTGTATAAAATTAATTGTTTATAAAATAAAATTTCACCTTACATATTAAAAAATATTTTACATTTAATAAATATTTGAAATAAGACTTATTATTTTTTGTCGTTTCAAATAGTCTATCAAAAAAAATTCAGCGACGCAGTCCTCGGACTCTCGATCAATACTGCCCCCATCTACTTCCATTCATGGATCCGCCACTGACTTGATAAATACTTTAAAACAAAGTGTGTATCTTTTCAAAAAAAGGACTAATAAAAGAAAGAATGAAGTATTACTATTAAAACAATGGACTAATAAAAATAAGAATTACTTTTTATTATTAAAAAATGGATTTATATTAAATAGTGTTCAATTGTATAAATAACAGAGTGTTCCTCACGTATATTTATAATGAAAATTGAAAAACTGCATGAACTAACGGAAAAATTAACGGAAGGACTAACTGTGCATCGCCAATGTGACTTGAAGGACCATTCATGGACTTTATAAAGTTGAAGGACTAACCATGCATGACACAAAAACTTAAAGGACCAACGATAGAATTTTGCCTAAAAAATAAGTTGAACGAAACGAGACCTAAAAGATATTGAATAGATGTTTCAATTACCCAATGATCAATCTAAATTCAAAATTAAAATTTGAATTTAGCTGGCGTGTAAAACTGAGTCCGAAAAATCGTTTGTGTTTCAAATGATATCTGAAAATATTTGAATAAAATATTTTTTTCTTACCAAAAAAATGTTCTAATATAAAAATAAGTGTTTTGATAAATTTTTGACAAATCTTTTGTACTTGACTCACTAAAAACATTTCTGAACAGCTAAAAGAATTTTTAAACTGACTCCAAAATAAATATAATTTTTTTTATATAACTTTCATAAAAATAGTTTTGGAGTGAGGAATATTTTTTTCAACCTTAAAATATTTCCCAAGACTCAAATAAATTAAAAGTCTTCACAAATCTTCTTTTTCACTTCTGTAAGGCGCTCCATTAGGCGTTTTGGTCCTCATTAAATCCCGTGGTCCTTCTTGAATAATTCAAGGGGAAAAAAATCAAAGCAAGACTAAAACATTGAAAATGTAACAAAATAGGACTTCCATGTTTTATTTCTCGAAATAGGATTTACATTACCAAACATGGTCATGTATATTACCAAAAAAGTATAGTAATGTGCACATGTACAGTGCCACATTACCACAATGTAAAGTCCTATTTCAGGGAAAAACATGAAAGTCCTATTTTGGTATTTTTCTCTATGTTTTAGTCCTATTTAAGGTGATTTCTATAATTCAAGGGATTTTGCTTTTCAAGTATTTGAGTTTGTCAATATAGCATTTTATTCTTGACCTGAATAACTCGTGTTACGTTTGTCAATACTTAACTGTACAAAAAAGGTTGAACTCATGCATTTCGACGGAGTAAGTACAACTACATTCGCCCCTTAGTATTTGTTTAGTTTTGACTTTTTCAATCAAAATTGATAAACTTTGATAATTAATTAAATAAGATTGATATTAGATATTGATATAAATTTTTTTTATTACATCTCTTTATAAAATATTTTCAAAATTTTAGTTTTATGCAATTAATATACCTTATTATTTTTGTTTAGTTATAGGTCAAAGGTAGATTATGGTTGACCACAAAAAGTCAAAATCAAACTAATAATTAATTCCATATTTAGTTCTTTATTACTAAATATTGCGTCAAAAAATCATTTTCATGTTCAATGTTCACTGGGATAAATTTTATTTACTTTATTCGCCTATTTTCGTTGGCTATTTAATTAAGCAATATAGTCATGCTCTCACTTATTTTGTAGATCTTTTAATGTAGTTTTTGAAAATATCATTTTTATTTTTCAAATCACACCATTTTCATATAAAATAAATTAAAAATTATTTCAGTCATATATTGTAATGCAAAATGAAAAGATAGTTTTTAGACGTAGAGGGCATCTAATAATAAATGACTCAATAAATATAGAAAAATCCCCAATTTTAAGAACTCATTATAAAATTTACTCAATAAATAAATACATAAAATAGTTACAATCTTTGTCATAAATTAACTTCTTAGTTTGACTTTGTTGCTCAAATATTTTGAACTTTGACCATTAATTTTTATATAAATTTGATATCAATAGAATTATTTTGAAACATAATTTTGAAATGTTTTATTTTATAATATACTCCGGAGTATATACCAAAGATCATGAAAAGTCCAATGAAAAATTAAATTTAGAAAATCAAAAATATTATGTAGATCGTAAATGAATATTCCTTAGATTTGGTCATGGAGAGAAGCGTAGGCACGTTTGACTATTTGATCATAATCATAATAATATGACCGTTACAATAAAACATTTAAAAATTCAAATAGGCCTTTCTCACTTCGTCCTAACTTTTGATTCTACAATCTCCTGCATATAAATTTTTCCTTTCTCAATTCTTCCTAACTTTTTTTTATTATACTCCCTCATCCCTCTCAATTCTTCCTAATTTTTCCTTTATTATATACGAATTAATAGAGAAATAAAAGTACAAATTATACTACTCAAAGTACATAAAAAATTCTATACCAAACAATGTGCAACAAAAATATTTTTTTTATAAAATGATCACCGAAAAGGAATAAATAAAAAAGATCAGCCTCATCCCGTAGAGCCTGCGCAACTACAACTAGTATTTGCAGAAGTCTAATGCTTAACGTAGTTAGCTCCTAACAAAGTTATCGAAAATCAAACTCAAATTTTACACTTTGACATTTCGTACTTTGTCTACTGCGCAACGCCCCATCGCTAAAAAAATAAATAAAGGGAGTTTTTTTAGAAATCACCCTAAATAGGACTAAAACATAGATAAAAGTACCAAAATAAGACTTTCATGTTTTTTTTTTCGAAATAGGATTTTGCACTGTGGTAATGTGACTTTGCCTTGTGATAATGTGGCAGTGTACACGTGCAAATTACTATACGTTTTTGGTAATGTATATGACCATGTACGGTAATGTAAATTTTATTTCGGGAATAAAAACATGAAAGTCCTATTTTAGTATATTTCCAATGTTTTAGTCCTAATTTGGTTTTTACCTTATTTTTCTAGTCCTTAATTCAAAGAGGCGAAAGAAGAAAAGGGGTTCCTTCCTCCTAAGTCCCCCAACTAAAGCCCCTCTTCAAATTCAAAACTGCCCAGCAGCCAACGAACGCCTCAGATCTTCTTTCTGGTGCAGCTCTCATAGCCTTGAACTGTGACAGCTTTCTCCACTACTTCTTCTGTTAGTCCTTCACCTGCCCAGCATCATCATTTTCCTCAAGATTCTTGATTTTCACCTGAAATTTCTTCACATTTCCGCGAAGAACAATGCGCGAGAGCATAATATCTGGGTAGGTTCCAGTCTCTGCTGCTAGAAATGACGGTTTCAACAAGATCTCAGACCATCAATAGCCAATCGCAGAATGACCGGAAACCCAGAACCAGAAATCAAGAAACCGGCGACCAAATCGCCGTGCGGGACCGGCACCATGGGTTGAAAGAGAAGTTGGGAGCTCTGACCCTTTTCTACGAGCACCAAAAGCAAGCGCTCAAGAACCAATCTCTGGATCCGGAGGAGGAGCGGAGATTCACCACCCACCCAAGCGTCGATCTCCTCCGGTCTGGTAAAAATGGTGGGGGAAAAAAAGATTGCAGAGAGCCCAACAGACCATTTGGGAATGTGATGAGGGAGAATTTATTGCACCCTCCATTGATTCATCATCCCCAGCTGGAGCTCGACGAGGAGGGCAAGGAAAACAAGAGTTGTAATGTGGTCAGGAAGCTTGCACTTGGGAACTCATCAGCTTTTCCTCCGAATGTATTGCCACGAAAAGGGGCTAATAATAAGGAGAGTAGTGTTCAAGAATCCGAGAAGGTGAGGAACAATGGTGGGGGTGGAGGAGGAGGAGGAGGGACTAGGATTCTTGCTTTTGTGAGGCTAAGGCCAATGGCTAAGAAGGAAAGGGATGCCGGCGCTAGAAGTTGTGTGAAGATTGTCGATGGGAGGGATGTTTACCTCACTGAATTCGCCACTGAGAACGATTATCTCAGGCTACGAATACTCCGTGGGAGGCATTTCACCTTTGATGCCTCCTTCCCAGAATCTGCTTCTCAGCAGCAAGTCTATTCCACAACGTGAGTTTTTTGTTGGGTCAAATTTTACATTGTTTTCTAGTAGATTTTGATTGAGCCTTGTTATTAGTGTAAAGAAATTGTAAGAAAAGGAAGTTCAGAATTAATTCTTCATGTGTGTGTTGAGTTCAGAACAGCAGAGCTTGTAGAAGCAGTGCTGCAGGGAAGGAATGGGTCAGTGTTCTGCTATGGGGCAACAGGAGCAGGAAAGACACACACAATGCTTGGTACAGTTGGGAACCCTGGTGTTATGGTGTTGGCAATCAAGGATCTGTTTGCCAAGATAAGGCAAATGAGTTTTGATGGAAACCATGTTGTTCATCTCTCCTATCTGGAAGTCTACAATGAGACTGTAAGGGACTTACTTTCCCCCGGAAGGCCATTGGTCCTTCGGGAAGACAAACAGGTCTGTCTATGACCCCCCTCTCTCCTTTCACACCTAATTTATCAGTCCTAACATTTTCACACAAAACCCTCTTTTTATTTGTTTAATTTTTGCTCTAAAAAATGTATTTCAGGGGATTGTAGCTGCCGGGCTTACACAATATAGGGCATATTCCACAGATGAAGTATACAAATTCTTTCAAGGGAAATAGTATGAGTTTGTCATAAGTATTTTGATTAAAAAAAGGACTGATTTCATTGTTAATCAATGACGACAGGTTATGGCATTGCTTCAGCAGGGAAACCGTAACAGAACTACAGAGCCAACTCGTGCCAATGAAACATCATCGCGTTCTCATGCCATTCTGCAGGTCATTGGAAATTTTAAACCAACATGGTTATTTATTTACTTTAAAAAAACTTTGTTGTTTAAAATATTTCTACCCTTTCTTGATTGGGGTGTCTCCTTCAGGTTGTGGTTGAGTATTGCACTAAAGATGATGCTTCAGGTAACATAGTGAGCCGAGTGGGAAAGCTATCACTGATTGATCTTGCTGGGTCAGAAAGAGCACTTGCCACAGACCAGAGAACGCTGAGATCTCTTGAAGGAGCCAACATAAACAGGTCACTTCTAGCACTCAGCAGCTGCATCAATGCACTTGTGGAAGGGAAAAAACACATCCCGTACCGAAACTCTAAGCTTACTCAACTGCTTAAGGACTCCCTTGGTGGAGCCTGCAACACTGTCATGATTGCTAACATCAGCCCAAGCAATCTTGTGTTTGGTGAAACCCAAAACACACTGCATTGGGCTGATCGAGCCAAACAAATCCGAACAAAGGTCTGTACCGCGCTCTCATCATTCTCATCCAGTTGTGTGATTAATGCTAGTAAATGCATGTGGATCTTCATTAATTTACCAGGCTTGTGATGTGCACGAGGAAATTCAAATTCCCGAATCAGAAACTGATCAAGCCAAGCTAGTACTGGAGTTGCAAAAGGAGAACCGCGAACTCCGTACACACTTGGCTAGCCAGCAGCAAAAACTGCTAGCCATTCAAGCACAAAATTTGGCAGCAAATGCATCATCTCCTGCTCCTTCCACAGTCTCCTCTCACCTGTTGTCCCCTGCTTGGCCAAGTGAGAAAAGAAAAATGAAGCCCTCTTTCCTGGGTGGTGGCAATTGCTTCACCCCAGATTCAAAGAAAAGGGCTGCAGATGATACGGTAAAGGAACTGAGGAAAACAGTCAAGGCACTGGAGGCTGAGATTGAGAGGATGAAGAAGGATCATGCATTTAAGATGAAGCAAAAAGACAGTTTTATCCATGAGCTTTCGCTGAAGATTTCAAAACCAACATCAGTGGGAGTGGGAGAAGGAGGGGTTCTAAAGAAGGTGATCACAAGGGCAAGCTTACGACCAAAGAAGCCAAACAAGGATGAGTTGAAGAGTCCGTGTCATCGTTTTGTCTCTCCAGCAGCTCCCACTTCTAAAAAACGTAGTTTTTGGGACACGACCTCAGCAAATAGCCCATCACTTGCCACACTAAATGGAAGAAAGACCAGAAGCCATGTCGCTGCCGAACTTACAACAGCTCCCTCCAAGCTTCTCCAGGTGATCTTTAATGACTTTTTTCTATTATTACTCTGGCAGCCCGGGGTTATACTACTTTCTTTCTTTTAGTTGATCTTTTATGTGTTCCTTTGGTTTGGGGTTCCTTCATTCTGAAACTAATGCAGCTTGCATATCCATGTTTCTGGTTTGTGTTCTTTGTGGGGCCGCATGTCTTCAATTTCATCACTCACCAGCCAGGATTTGCTTGGCCAAGACCTGAAACTGTAAAGCCGTAGAAGTCGCAGCAGCCAAGGGCAAGCAGGTTCTTAACAATCCATAAGAGTTTCCCAAGAGCCACATTTCTCTTCATGTAGTTTATCCCCCCGCCCAAACTAGAGGCTTCTTGCAAATTCTTAACAATCTGAACAATGACTCACATTTCCCCAATTGTTAGGGTTTTGTTTGTTTAAATATTCGTTAGTTGAAACTTTCATACTGTATTTTTTTGCCCTTGTATCTTAAATATGATTCTTTGAATCACGCGTCATTCCTGACCCAAGTATTAGGCCACCCGCACTGAAAGGATGACAAAGGTGGAGGAGAAGTGCATTGGACAGATAAATTCCAAAGAGAGAAAGGAGAAGAACTAGTCCCTGGAGAAGAACAAAAAGATAGAAAATAGCCAATCCCTCTATGCCATGTGGCCTTTTCCATTCAATTTTTCTTTTTAATACTACCTCCGTCCCACTGTCTTTGTCCACTTTTGACTTTTGGAACTGTTCATCTAACGTGAAACTGAGTAGTTTAAGAGAGTTACACATTCGGATTTATATCAGTACACACTAGAACAAACTAAACAGAATTGTATATCTAATAATTATATATTAAAGATATTAAAAAATTATATGTTTAATGTTCTATTTTACCTATAAAGAAGTGCATTGGATGGTGTGCCAAAAGGTAAGTGGACAAAGACAGTGGGACGGAAGGAGTAATATATAAGGGTTTTGGCCTTTGGATTCATATTCTTTATAATGATCTATGCTTAATTAATTTAACATAAAAACATTTTGCAGATGATGAAACATAAGACTTGGATTTGGGTTTTTAATTTGAGTTTACTTTTTTTACGGGAATTTTATTCTACTTATTTGTAGATTAAATATTTCTTTAAAAGTAATGAGTATAAAGAATTTAATTATACATTGTTCAAATTTATTAGAAATGGTAATGTTTTAGTAAGGCTTTTGATATGCTACAAAAGAAGGTAAGTGTTGAAATGCATCACTTTTATGTCTTAAAGGAAATACCCACGGATAATATGAGAAAAATCATGAATCACATGACATAAAGTATGTTGATAACTTTTTAAAAAGGAGAAATATAGGAGACACCACGGAGGACAGCTTGGTTTGGGTGGCCTAGGCACCGATGCCAGGTCTGATGATTGACAGGGACGACATTGGCTTGAGCAAGTGCTAGTTGTCCTACAGGGTAGAGGGGTCCAACATTATTAGATCAATGCATCACAATTCCCGTCTGACAATTCTTCACAGAAAAACCCTGAACATCAAATTTAACAGTGTAGTTATTATCACGAGTAAGTTGGCGAACAAAGATAAGGTTGTGAGTAATGAGGAGAGAAACTAAAATGTTATTTAGGGACAGGGGAGGGGTAGTGGACTAGTGGGAAGTGTGTTTCTAGTTGCTACCAACAGTCATAGTGCAAATCTTGAAACATTACCAACAGTAATATAAGGTGGAGAATATAATGTTTGAGAAGAGACATGAGAAAGTCAGAAGCAATGTGATAAGAGGCACTGGTATCCATAAACCATGTGGGCTCGCGAAGAGACATTGTGTCGAAGTGGTGAGCTAGGGCTGTGGGTGGGGTTTTTTGAGTTGTCGGGTAGGGATAGGTGGGGGGTACTGCCCTACGGAAGGTGTGGGGGGCATGTCACGACATTGGT